AAGGTCTTGTTTGCATGGCCTGAGTGAGTAAATCATAAAAACGAAAACTGCTAACCCTAGAATATGTCCACAAGACCTATGAACCATAAATAGTAAGTGTCACGTGCAACGTAAACTGTCACGTGACCATGAAGCACTGAAACTGTAACACAAGCTCCCCCTTCCAACCGGCAAGACCCTTGACGATAACTTACCAAACTAACCCATCAACATCCCCCGCGAACACCTACGTGGTCATAGACTGGGATGGTGGTATGGGGTACGACCTCCCAGCCATCGTCGAAATCCTTTTGGGGCTGAGGATGGAACTCGGTAGGTGCCTAGTGCAAGATGAATCTGTCTTCGTAGAGGACCACCTTCAGTGCTTCGACACCATCGGTAAGCCATCCAGGCCATTCGATCATGGCAATGAGGGATTGGAAGACAACCGGCGTGAACTCACGAGGTGTCTTGGCATCTCCATAGCAGACTTGATCAGAGAACATCCTGAATAGTTCAACCTCGTATTGTTCAACGCCTTCTTCCTTGCCTGCAAAGCGAACGCTGATGACACGCATCCAGTTGAGTGTTGGATGCCAGTCATGCATGCCTGGAATGGGTGGTGGATAGAGAAGAGCGACCCATTGACTGAAGACACGATGAGGCGAGTCCTCCGAGTAGAGGTGCCATGTGACCTTCTGATTGTCCCAAGTGAAGATGAAGGCATGGAAGGTGGCAAAGTCGCCTGTGCCCATATGATGGATGTAGAGATGATGGCCATTGCATTCCATGAGGAATGTTAGTGGTGTGGCGATGAAGACATCGTAGGGTGATGCTACGTCTGGGACGATGAGCGATACCTGTCCTGCCGCTGGGTTGCTCGAAGACTTGACCGCTCAAGCATACCTGATCTGCTCCTTGATGGTGTTAGCCGGTGCAGGTTGCAATCCATCCTTGGATGCATCATTGTAGTTGTATCTGGTGCCGTCGTGGTGGGGGTAGCCGGGTCGTTCATCATCGGCATTCCTTGCCTGTTCATCATCTTCACCTCAAGCTCTCCCCATCGTCCAAGATCCTCCCATCATCCAATGACCTGTCTCATCTTTGTCATCTCCCCATCGTGCACTCCTCCATGAGTCTGCCAGTGCTTCATCACTAAGGTTGTTCAGAAGCGGGAGTTCATCTCCATCATTGTTGAGAAGTAGTCCTGGCTCCGATGTGCTGTGAGTGATGGAGGTGGTGACATGAATGTTGAGTGACATTGGTGGAGGTGGTAGAGCAGGGCGGTTCTCTTTGTCCCAAGGGTAGATTTCCTTGTAGAGTTCCCACTTGAGTAGGAGGAGGCGATGGTCTAGTAGGGGGAAAGGAGGGCCGCTACTTATATCTTCGAGCAGCCGTTCCTCTTCTTCATACCAGTCCGTGATGTGAATGTTCGCCATTCTCGTAGGTTCTTCTGCTGGTATTGTCATTGTTTTTGATACGGTACTGTGTACGACACTGAATACATCCAGAGTGAATGAGAGTGCTGTCGGTAAGATATCAAAGTGTAGCAGATGATCGAGAGTGTACGATGATAGGAGGATTCCCACTGGAAGCCTGGCGTAGACAGCTGTTAGGATAGTCCGGCATCGATCTATCTCTAGCCGGGGCAGGTGAAGTTCCTCCATTAGGTACATTGGGTAATTCATTCTCATGAACGTTCCCCATGTTCCGTCTAGGTCGATATTGACATCATCCTCTAGTGTTACCTTCGACTTGTCTGTTTGGAATAGAAATGGGTAAGGAGTTCTGATTAGCCCGCTGGGGCACGGGGTTAGATATGGCTGTCATCGAGTTGACCTGAAGTCATCCAGGAGGTGGACTTCGTGGACGTCGTCCGCTCTCTGGATGAGATGGTCCATCACGGTTTGGATGGGTCATGTTGAACTCGACATTGGTATGGTCGAAGTCGGCAAGATCCTCGATGGCGAATCCAGCCCCTCTGATCGTGAGATAGACTCCGAGTTGTTGGAAGACCTGGTAGCGATGGTCGTGAGAGGAGTGGGATTCGATGTCTTTGAGAACTTCGATAAGATGGGTAAAAGTGGTGATAGCAGATTCGAGAAACTCGGGATGTTGCACAAGCATTGGGGCATGGACTGAGGGTTCAGGCCAAGTTGTGCTCCTTTTTATACTCGTTCAGCAGCTCTCCTGCATTGCCCATTTCTGTCTCTTTTACCCACGACCTTTCACTGAGTGGATATCCAGCCCATTTTACCAGATATTTGTTCTTGCTGCGCCGTAGTCAGTGTTCGATTATAGACTCAATTTCAAATTCTTCCTCTCCTTCGATAAGATCTGGAGGCAGTGTTGAATAACTTTCCCCACATGTACTGGTCTGCCGATACAGCGTAAGCAATGCAGCATGGAACACCGAATGGATCTTCCATGTCGCAGGAAGGTCTAACTTGAATGAGAGTGGTCCCAGAACCTCCTTGATCCTGAATGGTCCTTCTCGCTTCAGCGCTAGCTTGTTCGATTTGTAAGGTCTTTTCAAATTGGTGGCTTCCAGCCAAACCTTATCTCCTTTCTTGAACGTTGGAGATCCTCCTTTGATCCTGGTGGCTACGTGGGCTTTTGCCTTGATGATTCCTTCTGTGACCTCCTTGCGGACCATGCTGAGAAGTTTGAGTCTTGTATCTACATCAGGGATCTCATCCTGAGGAAACAGTTCTGGCATTCCTCGGGGCTCGTAGCCATACCATATTTCAAATGGTGACTTCTTCGTTACTGAATGAGTATGGAGATTGTGCGCGAACTCTGCTTCAGATAGGAATTGATTCCATCGATGCGGTTGCTCGGCACAATACATTCAAAGATAGGTTTCCAATTCTTGATTCATTCATTCCGTTTCACCATCCGTCTGTGGATGATAGGCTGTGCTCATGGCTGACTTGATCTTGAGGGCAGTGCACAGTGCTTGGAATGCTTTGGATGCGAATTGTGTTCCACGATCAGAGATAATCTTGTCAGGTAGCCCAAAGCATTTCCAAACTTGTCATCTGAATAGCTCAGCGATTTCTGAAGCAGTGATCGTCTTCTTGCAGGGACATAGAATTACCCCCTTACTAAGCCCATGGTCTACCATGACCATTATTGAATGAAGCCTTCGCTTTTCGGTAGATCTGTAATAAATTCCACGCTAACTTGCTTGAAAGGTAGCACATTGGACGAAGGACTGATGGGCTGTAGTGGAACTTTGACCTTGTTTCGAATAGCTTTGGATTGCTGACAGATGGCACATCCATTGACGTAGCTTTGGATGAAGTGATACATTCGTGGCCACCAGAAGTCTTTGCGCACTAGTTGGTGCGTCACCCAAATTCCTGGATGACCATGAGGAGTGGCCTCATGGTATCACCGAACAATTTCCTTCTTCAAGGCCATATTGTTCGGGACATATACGTGTCCATGGATGGTGATTAAACCATTGTCAGCATCCTTGATATCGTCCTTTGTCATTTCTCGTGGGACTGGGAGTTCCTCCATTAGGCCATCCTTGTATGCAAATACCGATGGGTCTTTTGTTAGCACGTGTCGGATTTGTTCCACCATATCTGTATCGATAGCACCAATAAATAGATTGTCTGATAGCAGGATTGCAGGGGACTTGTTGTCCTGTCGATTATCTAATTCGGCCAACTGTGAAAGCACGTCCGCTTGCACCATTTATCATCCTGGAGTATGGACAATCTTATAATTGAACATAGACAAGAAGAGTTGTCATCTTCGCTGTCTTGGGTTCAAATCCTGCAGTTGCCTAAAGTACGTCAGATTTTTGTGATCTGTGCGTATGAGGAATGGCTCCTTTGTGCCGTCGAGATAGTGTCTCCATTCCTTGAGTGCACGAATGATTCCTAGAAGCTCCTTATCGTAGATTTGATAATTCCGTTCTGGATCGGAGAGCGTCTTGGAATAATATGCACAGGCATGGAGATCACCATTATCGTCCTTCTGCATGAGGACTGCTCCTGTAGCGAAGTCCGATGCATCCGTTTCAATAACAAAGGGCTTGTCTTTGTCTGGCATAACCAGTATTGGTGCCTTGCCAAACTCGTTTTTGAGATAATCGAAAGCGGCTTGTTCTTTGCTTGTCCACTGGAACACATTCCCGCCCTTGGTCTTAGTAAGATCAATTAAGGGTCTTGCGATTTCGGAATAGTTCCGGATGAACTTTCGATAGAAGTTGGTGAATCCTAGAAATGCTTACACTCCTTTTACGCCAGTCGGGGCTTCCCATTTGATGATTCCATTGACTTTTGCTGGATCCATCTGAAGTTGTTCTGGGAGGAGAACCAGTCCTAGGAAGTCAGTGCGTGTAGTCTTGAACACGCATTTCTCCAGCTTGAGATAGAGGTCATTGTCGACCATCTTCTTAATGACTCGTTCAAGCTTCTTTTCCAACTCCTTTTCGCTTTCGGCTAGGATGAGAATATCATCCAGATAACATAGTAGCCATCCTTCGGCGATTTCTTCTGCGAATATTTCATTCATCATTCGCTGAAAGGTTGCCGGTGCATTACACATTCCGAAGAACATGACCATGGGTTCGAACAATCCACGCTTGGTGATGAAGGCAGCCTTCCACTCGTCTCCTTGATGAATTCGGACATTGGTGTATGCTCCACGAATGTCAAGCTTCGCAAAATACTTGACATGGTGGAGTCAATCCATTAGGTCCGATATAAGTGGGAGTGGATAGGCGTCCTTAATCGTTCCTTCATTTGCATAGCGGTAGTCCTGGCATGGATGTAGCCCGCAATCTTTCTTTCCTACAAAGAAGAAAGGTGATGCCATCACAGATTGCAAAGGAGGAATATATCCTTTCACAAGGTTTTCGTCGATAAAGGCATTCATAGCTTCTTCTTCCGGCTTTGATAGATTATAGACCTTTCCTCGTTGAGGAACAAAATCCGACTTGAAGTCCATGTTGTGATCGTAAGATCTATGTGGTGGTAACCGTTCTGATGCCTTTTCTTCGAAAATCTGCTTGTACTTGAGAAGATATGATGGTATCATTACTTTCTTCTTTGAGTTCTTCTTCTCTTCGAGTACTTTCTTTTGTGCGAGTTCCTGCACCTTGTTTGATGCCTTCCATAAGATTCCATCTTTCTTTCTTGTTTGATGGGGATCTTTCTTGGCATTCGTTCATCACAGTGCAAGATACTGCATCTTCCTTTCTCCAGCCGAGCGATGTTCTTTTTCTTCGAGCGCGACTTCTTGAAGTATGCCAGTATCAGGTTGATAGGTGAAAATAGCTTCTCTTTCTCCTATTTCCTGATCCTCCAAGTATGGTGCCCCTTTTATGTATGCAAGCAAGAGGTCCAAATCAATGGTTCCTGCTTCATCTGGTGCGGGATCAACATTAGACCAGTCAATCCTTCTCAAAGTTCACTTGGCTTTGGCTTTCTCCTTTTTGGTGATTGGAAGGCGAACGGCGTTTTTATCTTTGAAAGGCCATGGTTCCTCATCCAGTACATCTTCTACATATTGACGGACCTTGACTTCACCCGTTTGCCAGTTGATAACTGGGTTATGATCATGAAGCCACATATTGCCAATGATCACATCTTCTTTTCCTAAGTCGATGATTAGGAAGTCATCATTCCATTCGTACGTTCCTGCATGAACAGTTCCTTTGAATCGTTGGTTTGTAGAGTTGATGGGACTTCCATCGACACTGTGAATCTTGACTTCCTTCTGTGATTTGAGAAGATGGAGTCCTGCTTTCTTCGCAAACGATTCATTGATGAACATTCCTTTTGCTCCAGAATCAACTAAGGCTCTTGCTGGAATACTTCAGGTTCTTGTACCATTGTAATCTTGAAAGACGATATTGAGGTATATTTCGCTTCCTCGTTTGATATCGCCTCGTATGATTACTTCCTCGGGGACCGTTTCGTTATCTGGGTGCCACGAGGTCCCAACGTGCACCCAATTCCAAAACCCTCTGGATCGTCTTTTTCCATGGGTGGTGGATATCGGCATGCATACTCATATCTGTCTGGATTGTCTCCAAATTCCAGAAGATCATTGAGATGGGACATCGTCATGCTGCATTTCTTAATATGGTCTCCTCGCATTTTGAGTGCATCTTCCCGTCGTATTCTGGCAAGTTCTTCTTTTGGGATGAATCTTCGAACCACATATGACTCTTCTTCTGAGTCACTGAATTCATCCTTGGTTCACCTGATTTTGCGAACTATTTTGTTTTTAACAGGGCGAGTTCTTTGTACCCTGTGAACAACTGTTTCTTGTTCGGATGCTTCTTCAGAGTCTGATGATTCAGATTCTGATTCTTCCGATGATGAGGATTCCAATTCTTCCTGTCTCGACTCCTTCGAGTTATCCTCTGAGTCGCTTTCTTCGACCCTCTTTACTCATCGGCATTTCTTCTCCG